ATATATATATATATATAAGATCCAAGTTTAGCTAGAGTTAAAGTGTACAAAATACACCAATCGTTACTACACCAAGTAGCTAAAACAACAAAACAACAGAAAGGATAAACTCTATCTGCCAGCTGCAGACTTACCACCAGCCACCAACCTATTCCTGCTCTGCTCCCATATAACAATATGATCATCGCAGTCCAAACACAATGAAAATAACAAAGGGTAAGCTAGTGAAAATAAATCAACATACATATGTAACAATATGAATGGTAAACAGCTATAGCTATCAGCACATCAACCAGCTTATACTACATCACAACATTCATCAAATATCAACACCGCAAAGCAGCAATATCAGCACTGCATAGCAGCAATAACAGCACCACTCTAGTGGCTATAACAGCACCGCATAGCGGCAATAACAACACCGGCTTAGCGGCTATAACAGCACCACAATAGTGGTTATAACCAACATACAGCTCAGTAATATACAGCACAGCCAAACAACTCACAACCCAGCTAACATAGCTCACAACACAGCACAACAAATCAGCATACAGCACAGCTAAGTAGTATTCAACACAGCTTACTACTCACAACTCCGCTCAACATTCTATAGTACAACCATATTATAATTCAGCATTAAAATCATCAATAACAGTCCAGCTCAGCACGGCAATATACATCTATTACAACTTAACATCATTATTCAACATTATCATCTAGTCAGCACATCATATTCATCAATTATAGCTTAGTTCGGCATAAAACAACATCTATCAACAATTTCAGCATAATTCAACAACTATCAGCGTATACTTCCACATCCTCATACGCGCCCGACACACTCATGGTCGCGCCCGGCGTGACACAACCAGAGAGCACCAGGGGCCAGCGCGCCCGGCGCAAGAGTGCTCGCGCCCGGCGTGACCCAATCAGAGAGCCCAAGGCTCTCACGCGTCTGGCACAATTCAGATTGCGCCCAGCGCCTGCCCAGGCAGAGACTCCAAGGAGTCCCACGCGCCCGGCGTGCCCAGACCCGCGCCCGACACGGGGAAGGCAGAGACCTCCCCTAGGTCTCGCACCCAGCGCAATTCAAATTGCGCCCAGCGCCCCCATGGCAGAGACTCCCAAGGAGTCCCCACGCCCAACGCGAAACCAGAACCCCAAAACATGTCACATACTGATGGCGCGCTCGGCGCCGTCCAAGTCACGCCCGGCGTGGGCTATCCAGAGGCTCACCTTCTCAAACTCGCCCGGCGCACACATCTTTGTGCCCGGCAGGCTTGCCTAAAAGGAGCCTCCAGGTGGTCTCGCGCCCGGCGCGAAGAACGGCGCTCAACGCGAAGAACGGCGCTCAACGCGAAGCTCAGCAACAACCCACCAAGTTCGAAAATTTGCCCAAAACCTGCAAAAATCTACTCTTTCAGCACATGCAATCCATTCAAAGTACCACATTTTCAACCAACAGCTCAAAAACACCATCTTTTTACACATGCAATCACAAACAATGAGATTCCCAAAATTTTTCTCAAAAACCCCAAAACCTCAAAACTCCATTTTCAGCAATCTCAACCAAAAACCATCAATCATCAAACAACAAATGAGTTTCTAGACTCATTTACAGCCAAAAACAGCGAAAACCTAGCTTCCCTACCTCGGTACAAGAATTCCGAGCTCCGGGACGAAGAAGACAAAGAAGAAGAAGAAGAAGAATGAGCTTGAGGAGAACTCCGCACGGCTCAGCTAAACCCAACACTAAGCATCAGCACCTTGAATCCAAGCAAAGAGAGAATGATCAGTCAAATGAAGATTTGAGAGGGAAGAAGAGAGTTTGAGTGAGTGGGAAGAGAGTTGGGAAAGAAAAAAAAACGGAAATGGAGTCTCACAAAAATACTAGTTATTATTAAATAAATATTAAAAAAGTGCTAACAATATATTTGTATTGTACTTTTGGCTATTAGTCAAAGTTTGTTAAAAAAATTATAAAACCACACTCATTCAATGAATATCCTTCAGAGTTTTATAATTTTTAATATTTTTTTTAAATAAAGAAAATATTATTCTTTAATAAACTATTTATTATTATTAACTTTTATTGAAACTCACAAAAATAATTAATATTTTAGTTTAAATTTTTATTACATATAACTAAAATTTAAAATAAATTATGTATCTAAATAAATATTATGGTTGAATATATAAATTATAAATTTAAATATTTTTTCTTCAAAATTAAAATAAATTTATTTTTAGTCTTCATAATTTAAAGAAAAATATTTTAGTTCTTATACTCAAATTTTGTTAAATAATCTATTAAATACTGTTACATAAAATATAGTCACTCAAGTTTCTCTTTATAAAAAAAAAAAGTCACTCAAGTTTCTGTTTATGAAAACATCACATTAAATGTAACTAATGTCTCAATTTAACACTTTCAGATAGGAGTATAAGTGAGTAAGGTTGAATCAAGTTTTGATAAATCTATTAATCGACTCGATCAAAATTCAACAAATTACATTAGTTTGGATTTGAACAAGATTTTGAAATCCAATCCGATCACAAACAAATTAGATTAAGTTGGATTAATCGAGTCAAATATAGTTAAATTTATTTACTTATTATAAAATTTTAAATATTTCTTAATAAATGTAAATCATTCCATATCTTGTTGCAAATACAATGCTGGTTAAATTCCAAAAATAAGTTTGTTAATTGCTACATTGTTAACGACTCAAACAACTAATATTAATAGAAAATAATTTTAAAAATAAATATGTTGTATTGTTATAATGCTATTAACCCTAAGATACAAAATGTGTTACTAACCAAGAGTGGCAAAGAATACTATTTTGAACAAGTCATCATCCAAACACCAACTTATTATTATTATTATTATTATTATTATTGTTATTATTATTATTGTATGATTGGGTCGAGTTGGATCACGAGTCAATAATCACAAAATTTATTATTCGACCCATATAATGTCAGATTTTGAATGAATTTGGTCGAATCTGATCCAAACTAACTTGAGTCTATTTAAATTTATGAGTTACACGTATTCGCTTACGCTCCTACTTTCACATATATTATTGGTAACCTGAAATATTAAAATAAAGATTTTTTTTAAATAATAGAGACTAAAAATAATAATTTTAAATTTGAGACTAAAACACATTTATTCTAATTTTTAGAGACTTAAAACATGCTTAAACTTAAATTATATCTAAAATTTGAATAAATTGATGTTTTTAAATATATAGATTATATTTTAAATTTATGATAAACAATTTGTATTGTAGCACAAAATTATTTTATTTATTGATAATTTATTTTAATAATATTAAAATTTGATTTATAAATAATTATGATAAATAAAAATCGAATTAGATATGAAGTTAAAAAAATTTATAAAAACTCTATCATTAAAGTAAAATTTTTAAAAATACTATCACATAAAATAGACATTCGTATTTTACGGTTGATTTTATAATTTTAATTAATAATAAAGAATACTTTGATTTTATAGTTTCAATAAATTATAAGTAATGTGAATGTTTATGTGATTGAGGGTGTGTTGATAGTAGTCTAACACTCCTAGATTTTAATTATACTTGTAAAAATAATATTAATAAGCGTGAAAGGTGTTACAGAGACTCAGAAAGAATATTCAAGAGACCGTCTTGACACAGTTCCGAAAAGCAACAACTACTTAACATTACTTCTATTTTTATTTTATTTTTTTATTTGGGGAGTGACGCTTCATTCTTCATCTCTGTTCCTTAAAACATGCACTACACTGCTTCTGATTCAACTTTCAAGCAACAAATCCAAAACATGTTTCTCCTTTGATGTTGTTGTCATTTTCGCATTGTTAAAAACCTTTTTTTTTTTCCTTCTTCTTTCTTTCTTTTTCTTGGGGTGGTTAGTTTTAATACCAACGGAATAGTGTAGTTAGGCTTTGCGGTACCTTTTGTTCGTTGTTCTTTTTCTTGGGTTTGTTAATATTAATATCAATGGAACAGTGAAGTTTTGTCTGCATCAAAGTTTCACACTTTTACTACAAATGGTTAATGGTGAGGAAGCACCAGAATGAAGTTTCTTAATTATACTTCAGCATTTTCATTCTTTAATTAATTCCTTTATTTATTTATTGATTCTCTCTATGATGCAGTGATAGTGTTACCAGCTTAGGAATCTGGTTTGGTTGTGTCGAGAGTTCTTGCTTCATAGTTACTTGGCTTCCAAGTCATGGTATGTTCATGTGTCGATGTTTACCATTACTCATTCTATATCATACCCATATGCCGACATTATTTTAGCTTAAAGCTTCCGATGATTAATTTGTTTCTCTGTCATTAAAATTGAATTTTTGAACACTCGCTTATTAGATTTATTACTTACAAGTTTGGTAATTAGGATGTTAATTAATTTCTGAAAGTTTGTCACTTTCATTGAGATTTTTTGGTTGGAAAATTGTGTAGGGTTCAGAAGGTGCTAACTTTTCGAATGGCTGTGATTGGAACACTGATGACGAGCTTGAGGTGTTTGGCTTGGCTTATTCGGATCCAACAACCGATTCTAGTCAAGAGAGCTTTGAACAAAGTGTGGTGGTAAGTGCTGCATCCAGTTTTTTGCTCAATGATTTTTCTAGGTTTCAGGGTTTTATCACTCTGAAGTTCTAAAATTATACTTATATGGAAGAACCAAAGGTCTTTTGTATCCCTCTTGTCCCTCGTGTTACTAACCCTTTGTTTGCAAAAATGATTCATGGACAACAAGAAAATGAGGAGATATATATATTTTTTTTAAATGTATGTTAAATATAAAAATAGAAGGAAAAATTTGATTTTTTTAGAAACAAACTTTTCTCTGATTTTTATTTCTATTTTCTCTTCGATCAAATAACAGAAATTGCATAGTTTTCTGTGTTAGGAAAGTTTGATTTTTGTGTTCCTTTTATAATGTCGAGTTACTTTGTGTTCTGTTTAGGAGAGTAGTGCAAGTTGCTCAGGTGCTAAATATTCCAAGCAGATTCACCTATTTGTGGGAATGGGATTTTCCAAAGAGACAGTGATCAAAGCAATTGATGAAAATGGTAGTTTTTCTCGTTTAATATATTCAATAACTATTAGTTTGGTCTTGAATGGTGAGACTTTATTTTGTCCATGGTAGGAGATGGGAATGAGGAAGACATTATGGAAACTCTGTTAAATCTTACCACAGTGAGTAGTTCAATACTTTTAACTCTTTCACTCAACCAGTGGGTTTTTAATTATTTTAATTTTTTAAAGTAAATAGTTTTTCACTTCCTGGATTCAGTGCATTATATTCAGTGGCGGAACTTGAAAAAAAATTTTAGGAGTGCCAGATTATTTTCATATATATATAAAATTATAAATTAATTTTTTTATTAGTTAAAAAAATAATAGAATTTCTCTTTTTTTAACTTAATTTTTTTAGTTTTATTATAATTAATGATATAATAATATATAAATATAATATTAATATATATATATATAAAAGAAATTTAGAAAAGTTTGGGGGAGCCGTGGCTCCCCCTGTCCCTATGAAGATCCGCCACTGATTATATTTGTTGATTCTATTGAAGTAGATCAGTATGAGATGTGATGATACTCCTATTGGTTATCTGAATTCTAGGAATTATTTAGTTAAGGATTATTCTGTGTGTCGAGCTTAATGAATTCACTGTTACTTGATTTGAACTTGAAATAGCAATAATAAGAAAATACAACCAGATTTGAAATAAACCCTTTTGAGATGCAAATCTCAGCAAAGTAAAAAGGAATTAAAAACTTTAGTGGGACCAACCATGTCACAAGATACCAGCTTACCACTTTTGCAAGAAGATAAAGGTTCTCTGTTACAAGGATATTAAATTAATTTTTAGTTAATGGGTAACATATATCTATATTGTGAAAGTACAAAAGTTTGCAGTTAGTGGATCGTGATCGATTAGGTATATATGGGGCAGTTATTATAGCATGTTCTTTAACAAATAGCCACACGAGTAGAGACTAGAAAGTGATGTTCTTTTCAGACAGAGTTCATATGAAGGTCTTGAATCCTTTTGCTGGCATTGTGTACATAGTTTCCTTTTAACTGGATTCTTTTATTATGCAGCAAAAGCCCTTTTCATTGGAGAATGATGAAACACTGTCCATACTCATGAATATGGGATACTCCATAGATGAGGCGTTGACAGCTATAGACAAATGTGGTGCGTTTACCGAATAATTGTTACTCTTTTATATGTTGTTAACACTTATCAAGTTTGTTATTCTTCTTCTTTCGGTTTCCCACTATCAGCAGCATTAAATGATCTCAGATGGTTAATTAAATCCTGAAAAATGAGCTAACAAACTTTTTGTTTCAAAATCATCGTGCTAACAAAACTTTTTGTTTTGTGGGAGCATGTAGCTTGCGGTTAGTTTCAGTTATGAACATCGTACTACTAGTCTTCACAACATTTGTGGGTTTCCCTTTGTTTTGAATACAACAGAAATTGATAGTCGTGAAACCAAATAAGTTTGACTAACATGGAATGCAAGGATACTGGAGTTTTATTTTCCATGCAGCATGTAGAAATTTGTCTAGTGATGGTTCTTTAATATCTTGGTTTATCTTTATAACATTTGGTAGGTCCTAAAGCCCAAATATGTGACCTGGCGGATTTCATTTGTGCTTCTCAGTTAGAAAAGAAAACTGTCTCCCTTCAAGATCCAACTAACAATAGGCATGATGCATCTATTTGTATGAATAAAAAGGTTTGGCTTACAGTCCTATCAAAGTAGTTTTAAGGCTTCTAATTAAAATGTCAGTAAAGAAAGTAGTTTCCTCAAATTATGTTATATCTCCTGCTCTGGCAGCCAAGTGATGAATCGGATCTTCATACAAGTAAGAGAGTAAAATTACACAATAACAACCGGAAAGACAGAATCTGCAGGCCGAGTGAGAAGATGACATCAGCAATTGATATGGGGATGATGCATCATTCCCATCCAATGACAGGATTTGGTATACCCAATGAAGCCAGTTCACTGATTTCAAGAAAGCTTTCAAGAGAAGTAGCAGATAAACCATATTTCTATTTTGAAAACGTGGCTATTGCTCCAAAAGGAGTTTGGAATAATATGTCACGTTTCCTATATGAGATTGAGCCAGAATTTGTTGATTCCAAATACTTTTGTGCTGCAACGAGGAAAAGAGGGTATATCCATAATCTTCCCATCCACAACCGCTCCCCCCTGCTTCCTATCCCACCACTTACTATTCAAGAGGCTTTTCCAGCAACTAAAAAGTGGTGGCCCTCATGGGACAAAAGAACAAAGCTCAATTGCCTTCTGACTTGCGTGGCTCCTGGCACAGTTACAGATAGAATAAGGAAAATCCTTGAAAATTTTGATGCTGAACCTCCTCCAAATGTACAAGATAATGTACTTCAAGAGTGTAGAAAGTGGAACTTGATGTGGGTTGGGAAAAAAAAATTGGCTCCTCTTGAACCTGATGAATATGAGAAGTTACTAGGATTCCCAAGGGATCACACCAGAGGTGGTGGAGTCACCCGGACAGAGAGATTCAGGGCACTTGGCAATGCATTTCAGGTTGTTATGCTATTCGGTTTTACTTGTGTTCTTCAAGAGTTTATGGCATCATTAGAAGAGTTCTACAGTGACCATATATGATCACTAAAAAAAATCAAACTTCTTTCCATTATAGGACAACTCATAGTTAAATGATAAATTTTAAAGAAGTTCTAGTAAAAATTAAGCTGCTTTTTATATTTTAACGCTAAGGATGTATTTAGGTGATCAACTTAAGAACTTATTTGACTGCAACTAAATGGAATTAATTTCAGGTTGATACCGTGGCCTACCATCTTTCAGTGTTGAAGGGTCATTTTCCAAACGGCATCAATGTCCTGTCTCTCTTTTCTGGCATTGGAGGTGCCGAGGTTGCTCTTGATCGACTTGGAATAATGCTTAAAAATGTGGTGTCTGTGGAAAAAGCCGAGGTGAACAGAAACATCATTCGCAGTTGGTGGGAGCAAACTGACCAAAGGGGAAATCTAATTGAGATTGATGATGTTCAGAAAGTCTCTTCAAATCAGCTGAGGCAGTGGATGACCAAATTTGGTGGATTTGACCTCATCATTGGTGGCAGCCCCTGCAACAACTTTTCTGGCAGCAACAGAGTTAGTAGACATGGGCTAGAGGGAGAGCAATCCTCACTTTTTTACGACTATTTTAGGATTGTTGATGCAGTAATGGATATACAGAGAAATGAGCTTCAGTGAGACAAGAAATACAAAAGTGGATTTTGTTAATTCTCACTTTTGTACGTAACCAAATTCAAGGCACAACTGAAAATTAAGTAGGAACAATAGGAAGAGAATCCAATAGATACACAATTTTGTTCTAATTTTGATGTTTTGGTAATTCTTTTTTATGTTCATTTGGTATCGCCTGGTTTTGCTTACATCCATGCGAAAGCGAGTTTTGTTTTCTTAGTTCAAAGGGAAGAAGAAAATGTAAATGTTCTTCTATGCTAACCGATGTGCACACAGGCTGGTAGTTAATAACTGATGCTAATGAAATTCAATGGAAAATATGCTTACAAATAAATGATACAGCATAGAAGCAACCTTGTCATAATTCTGTGATTAGTCTCCTTAATCATCTAAATATTCCTAATATCCTTTTAAAGCATTTTATTCGATTTCAAAAGTATAGTTGGTGCCCATGGATTATGTTCCTATTGTTTCAGTCGCAAGAAAGCAATGATGACCTATGATTATGAACAGAGAAATTAGGTAATATAATAATGCCTTGACATTATGAAATGTAATTTGTATCTGAAGCACAAATTTCATATTGACAGTAAGGGAGGGCAATTCTAGTGGATAATTCCGTCAATCGTCAGACAATTAGGTTGGAGAGAATTCGTCCAAAAATTTAGAAACAAAGCGTATCCTATTTTATCAAACTAATATAAGCATGTCTTCAATAATCAGGTAAAGCTCATTGATAAAGAGAACAAATATTCTTAGATAGTAAGAATACTGATAGATAACATGTGAAATTTGGATTGAATATGCTTGAAAGTAGTCGCTTTTTATTATAGTAACAAATTACTGAGTTGAACATTAAGAACTTAGGCAGATAAAAACACAAAGAAAACAGAGACTTATATCCCGTTCTTGTTTTAAATACTTGCAAAAAGTTAAGACAGATACACCTCGACACCTGCAGTTTTTATCGATTGGCACACAGGACAAACACGGATAAATCCCTCACAATCCTTACACAGGCACAGGTGCCTACAAGGTATCAACAAAATGGAAACCTCCTTTGTCTTGCATGCTCTGCAAGTCAGATTTTCCATATCTTGGTGGCTCTTGTATGTAGGGTTTATAGGGGCACCTGGAATGTTCAGGAAGTTATTAGGATCTATATATGAGGCATCATCATCAACTTCACTATCTCCAAACCCTTCCTTCCCTTGTTCAGCTCCTTGTGAAATTGCCTGCTGTAGGTTGTTCCTTAATACATTCACAACTGACTCATTGTACTTTGCTCTGTAATGCCAGCTTTGTGCTTCAATAGCCACCTGCTTTATTCTTTCTGCCAGCTCCCTGTTTTTTCGATTCATGTTTTCTATCTCCACTTCTTTTTCCTTTAGTTTGGCGCTAATACCTTTCTCAATGGAGGTAAGCAGAGCAGCCATGTGCTTTTGCTTCATGTCTCTCACTCCCTTTGACAATTGTTCCTTCTGTGTGAAAAGTAGTTGGGATAACATTTCAGAAGAGTGTGAACCAAGAATTAATTGACAGTTCCATAATTTAAAGCATAACTTCTAGTTCCTATATCGGTGCAATAGAAAAAACCAACAATACGTTGATACGGGAATGGTACATAGTATAGGTATGGGATTCGAGTTCTTCAAAATCTAGGATACAGGTATGATAATGTAAATTTTTAAAAAATATACATATAAAAAAAATAGAATTATGTCTAAGCATGACTAAATTGTAAAAATGATTTAAAAAAAACACAAACAAGCATAATTTATAACATAAAAGAAGATTAAATTATTCAAAATAACAAAAAGAATCATAATGAAAAACTATAACATGTAAATATTCACAAGTCAATATTATATCACCTATGTATGACTGATGATATCACACTTTCACCATATCAATATCGTCTTTATGTCCATCAGCAGTGAAAAGAATTGCATCTAAATTTAGTTCAACAATAGAATGTGTAGCAACTTCCATGGAAGTCAGTCGCTTATAGTGAATTTCATTCATCTTCAAATGATTCAAAATGACTGATTTGGAACGAGTTACACTCAATACTCATGGTGATACATTTAGGAGATCAAGAGTAGAGAATCTAGTATGCCATTAGTCACTCATCTTCAACATATACAAACAAGGACACAACTGCGAATGACAGCAAGTAGGATCAAAGAAAAAACCTTCTTATTTTGTTTTTACTAAAGGATAATGTTTTAATTATCACATTTGGAGTTCGGGCTTGATATGTACCCAAATAGTACTCATGACTACCCAGTTAAGTACCCTCTTATTTTTCAAAATGTTTTTGGTACATGCTCAATACTCACTCATGAGTACCCAACATTTATCATGTATGGCTACATACTTGGTATGTGTATGACATGACTTGAGGAGTACCCATGTTTCATACAAGAAAAAAAATCATTTAAAATATTTTTCCATAAAAACACCATCATCCTCACTCACAAAGATTTAAACATTTCAGATGAACTGCTATCAAAAGGCAATAATTCTTCAAAAGAGAAACTCTTAATGAATTAAGCAGTGACTGGACATACAAAACCAGAAAATTCTACCCAAAAAGACTGTAATATGCATTTGAAAAAGCAAGATACTAGCAGCAAATTGATAAAGGAAAACCTAAAAAACATCCTACTATATAATAAAAGGAAATAATGCTAGTATTTCCCCCCTTTTCCCATTGGATTAAGCCATGGGACAGTCCTTTTTACCTTTCCAACAAACAGAAATATTTTGAACATAAATCATTTGTGTACGTAGAAGACCTCCCACAAACATCACCACAAAAAGGGAAAAAAAAAAAAAAAAAACAGCTATCTTCATATATTACCTGAAGTTTCATATACTGGTCCAACTCCTCTTGCTGCCTATCAAGCTCAGTTCTGATGTTGTCACCAAGAGACAATACGATAGATGGTGTGGCAGTCATGCTGCCACTTGCAGAAGTAACAGATGAGTTATGCTCATCATCTTCGTATGAAAGTCTCAATCCAGTTGATACAGGGTTAGGATTTGGAATACTTGCTAATCGATCAGCATCATCTTGAAGGAAATTGTAATTTAAGGAAATCTGAAGCCTCTGTTTTGATATATCTTCCACTTCCCTGCTTCGTTTATTAGGCTGAACCATGGAGTTGATGTGCTCATTTCCAAAGTTATTAACTGGGTCAACATTACATCCAGCTTGTACTGCAAGAGATATTTCATGTTTATCATTCAGTGATAAGTTAAAACTATGGATAAAATACTTGAACACTAAAAGAAAATCCAAATTAATTTAAGTGATTATTAAAGGAACAGCATAAAATGATAATATGAACAAATAAGTAACAATTTCTAAATTTACAAAAGAAAATAAGAATATCAGCACTAGCAACAACAAATATACACAATCAGTAGTTTGTACACTGTAAAAGATAGAAGGAAAGCACCCCTAGTTACAAGCAATACAAATGCCATGTCAAGGACCATTAGCATTCCTGTGTTTCAAAATCAAAACATAAGAGAAAGAATGCAGGATGAGTAGGTACACATGTCAGCATTGATTACCTCCAGCAAAATTATTGTCACATACAGCCATGCACATAAACATAACATGCATGCAGGCAATAACCAAGACAAGCTCATAATCCATTACCAACCCTATTCAAAAAGGGAAAGGAGATGCCATAATGATGCCTATAGCAAGAGGGACTAGAGGATAGAATTAGAGAAAGTACAAGATGGAAAATAGCACTCAAGTAAAAATCTTAAAAACAAGAAAAATATACATAAGTGAAAAGCATAAGCTACAAAACAGAGATACCCTGTTTAACAACCACATTCAAATGATTCACTGAAAAATATTATTGTTACTTGGGAAAAGGAAGGAGAAAACTCACAATTTCCAAACAACTGCAATTGATTTGACACATTTGTTTGATGCCGAAATTGAGTATCATCCAAGAAAACAGGAAGTGCACGATTTCCATTGTTGCCTCCCAACATTGTTCCAAGAAATGTGATTACCTTGCTCAAGTATGTAGCCTTAAAAGAATATTATTGAAGCCACCAATAATTATCTACAGGAACGAAGGGGAAAAGGAAAAACTCAGCATCACGTTGAATAATGAAGCGCTAACATCAAATATTACAGGACCAAAAGTCACATCAGCACAATACTTTGAACTATTCAGCTTGTAAGGGTAGGGGAGTTGATGGCCTTCTGAAATAGACTTATAAGCTGGATTTGAAAGTGGTATGTGCTGACTTTTTCAAAACAATTCATAAATTGCAGTTAAACAAAATGATATATTGGTTATTAACAGCAATTGCGTTATCCCACTAGGTGAGACCAGCTACATGGATCACACAATGTCACTGGATTTAGCTGAAAACCAAATTATCAAGTATGTTATTCACCATGAAATCGTTTTTAATAATTTTGTCCAATGTCCTTTTTGATCTCTCTTTACCCCTTCTTGTAGGGCTAAAAACCATGCAATCAACTCTCCTCACCTATGCCTCCAGTGGAATTCTTTGCAGGTGACCGAATCACCTTAATCTTCTATCTTCTTTTCCTCAATAATTCTCATTTCAATATCTCCTCATATACAATCATTCTATATCTTGTCCACCTATGATCTCATAGCTGGTCCCAAGCCCAAATAAAGGAGAACCATTATGTTAAGCCCTCAATAGCAAAGCAAAATTTGTCGAACCCCCAAACGTGGATCACTTATGGCTGATATATTGAGTATCAGTTATAAATAAAAGCAGTTCAGCAGTAGGTGCCTGAGCACCACCAACAACATATCCGAACTATGGCCTAATATTCACTTAAACAATAACATAAAGTATCTAGGGAATTCATGCTTATGCAGAACCATATTTGTGCAGGTCTTCTGATATAAATGTGCAGAACTATGTATATAACCAATTTTAGTAAACAAAAAAAGAGGATAGAAGTAATACAATGGTATAATGAGTTCCCTAGAAAAAAATATATATTTATTTTTGCCTTGAATAATTTGAAATGTAGCAAAGAAAACACATATCACCTACATATATGGGTACTATATGCTCTTCTCCCCATATTTTATCTTCTTTTTTTCTTCCTGCAAGCAGTAATGCAAGTGTAAAATATTTTTTTTCCTCATTTTCTATCTCCTTTCGTTTCAACACGCAAGATGAATTCTCATTAAAATTTGATCACATGTGATGAATTACCGAGACAAGATGAGTAATCAAAACTGAATATTCAGTCAACAAGAATGAAAAAACAAAGATGGAGATTTTAACTCTTTAGTGATTTATAAATGCAAAAGCACTCAAACATTTCACTCAGATTAATAATAATAATAATAATAAATCTTTAATGAAAAAACTAATTAAAAGATGGGATACAGAACAGAACATGACAACAAAAAGTTATCTTGATGTCCACAAGAGGAGGAAATGGAAAACTGCAACGCAATCGACCATGAACAAAGCAAATCGGAGACAGGAATCTAAAAAGTCAAAAACTTTGAGACGTGAGAAGATGGAAGAAGAATTGAAACAAGAGGGCAGTGCATACCTTGAGATTGAAATGCTTTACAAGGGAAAAAAAAAAAAAAAAGAAGATCAAGTTGATACCCTCAAAAGGATAAGCATGGAACAAAAGGGATGCAAAGAGGAGGAAAAAGAAGGTGAGAGATCTGGAATGGAAGATTGAGGATGGATGGATGGATGGAAGATGAAGGATGAATGAATGAATGAATGATGAGTTATGAATAGAATATAGGAAGAAGGAGTGGGTGTTGCATAAGAAATGGAGAGACAATTATTATTAATTTGTGGGAATTTCTATGGTGTGGTGACAATATAAATTTTTTTTTTTTTTATTAAAGCATTTACTGATGATATTTTAAGATAATTCAAAATATTTATATTTAATATTTTATGATGTATTCTTTCTGGTCTTTTATCTTTTATAATATGTTTAATTTAGTATTTTAATAAAGTATATTTTGTTAATTTTAATTAATAATTTTATAAATTTAAATTTATTTCACATTTACGTGTAAAATTAAATAGTTTGAATCACAGTTATATTTAATGTCATTACTCTTGTAAAAACATATTTAATGTCGTTATCAGTAATTTTAAAAAAAATTCATTAACAAGTGTAACTTGAAATTAAATTGTTAATAAATATATTGATAAGAGAAAACAACAATGAATATATTATATTTATTATACGATAATATTTTATTTATAGTTACGTTAGTTTACGTTAGTATATAACACTCTACTTTTCATAATAATTTAATAGAAGATTTTGAATTAATTAATCAAGAATAATTTTAAAAAATGAGAGCTTTTATAAAAAAAATATTTTATTTTTCATAGTTGAGTTATTATCTTTTAAAAATAAAGATAATTAAATTGAATTTTTGTTGACGAGTTATGCGGATAGATGAAGATTAGGATTTTTATTTAAATATGTTGGTAATTAAGTTTGTGTCAATTCAAAATTTAATCATATAGCTTGTGATATGAAAAAAAAAAATCAGAGATGGTTGAAAGAGAATTTGGTGAATTCGATTTAAGATTTTAGTGTCTGTTAAGGTAAAGAGAGAGTGAAAATATTGATTTGGGATGTGGCCTGTGGGTTAATTGTTAAGTAACGAAATTATTAGGTATGTCCTCTATGAAATATCTAAAATTTAAAAAAGGTTTACTATTTTTAAAAAAAAATATCAACCCATAGTTCAACGCTCAACAGGGATATTTAATAGAAAGAAAAAATAATAATAATATTTAAGAGTAGAATTTTGAGTATCTAAATTTATATGATGCAATATGCGTTGTTTGAAGTATCTTTAAAAAGTTTTATGTGTTTTAAAGTTGATTTAGTATGCTTAATAATTTTATACATGTAATTTGATATATGTAAAATTATGAAATTTGATTGGATTAATTATTTTTGGTTCATTATTTAATTATTTGCAACACAATTGATTTATTATACCTAAAGGGGAGATTTATGGATATTGTTATGAATTATTCAATTCTCCTGATTTAATTTCATTTAATTCACGAGATTGAAACTTGATTTATTGTTAATCAAATTGGAGTTTTAGAAAAATATATGATATTGTTGTGCACTTATGATATTGGAGAATATGTGAATTGTGATAAGTAATTGAAAAGTCTAAGTGAAACTTAAATATGATGGAAATTATGAAATGTGAATCAATGTGATATGTGGAAGTGATTATGTAAATAAGTCTAAGTATAACTTAGTAGGGATGTGACTTTTGAAATGTATAAATGTGAATGATAATTATGTGACCATGCATAAAGTTTGTATGACATTTTTGAAGTTAGGTCGAGCCATTATGTATAAAGTGGTCAATTGAGTAAGGTATAAAATTTAGGATTAAATTATTAAGTGGTCATTGAAAAGTTGGCTCTTCACCTATGTTGTAAGAGATATCTTAATTGAATGTGTGATAACGCATGTAATTGCTATATTATGCATATAGGGTTGAACTTAAGAAAAAAAATAGAGGAAAGTTAGAGAAAAGGACTCTAGAGCTAGAGAAGTTTTTCCTTCTCTCATCTTCCACTAACTTCTTTTACACATTTCCTTTCAATCGATCAGAGTTAATTGAGTGAGAGATTCAAGCTTTCAAAGTTAACAATATATATCAAGTTAGAAACTTGTGGAGTCCACATTTTTCTTCCTCATCTCTTCTCAATTAAATTGACTGGAGGTAAGGAAAGTTTGTGAATTGAATATTGTTTGGTGAATACTTGTTGCTTGTTGCCTAAATTCATCATCACATGATTGAATTAATGAAAATTATGGATTGAAAATGTTGTTATAAAAGTGCTCTTAAAGGTGTTCTTGAGTGACTTGGGTAATCTTGAATTTTAGTAGTTGCAAGTCATATATGGTGCTAGATTTCAGTTGTTCGAGTTGAGTATGTGTTAAAATATGTATTGCATGTGGTTTAGGTTGATTTGATTACAGGTTTTGAGCCATTGGATGATTATGCTATGTGCGAAGATTATCATCATACCAAGCACGCTTTCATGGCATCGAAGGTTACTCAAGTTACAAACTCTTTGTCCGGATCACGTTGGGTGTGAGATTGGCGGCATTAGCGTGGGTCAATGAGAAGTTCTCTAAATTGGTCACATCAAACGTGATAATAAGAGGTGTTGAGCGTGATTACTCGAGGAACTCTTTGACTTGGTGACGTCGAGTGCAAGTTGAGAGATGTTGAACATGATCAAGTTAGTGGCTCTTTGAATGACGTTAGGCACATGTTTAGTGGCATCGAGTGTGAATCAGACAGAGACCTTTCTCCTGAATGAGGTCGAACATGGATTTTGCCATGTTAGGTGTGATTGACACAAAGGCTCTCTACCCTATCCATGTTAGACACATGTGGTTTGGCACCGGGCATGGGTGAGCTAGAGGCTCTCTGCCTCAACAATGTCATGCACGCAAAGAATGGTGTCAGGTGTGGGTTATGTGATGGAGCTTGGTGAAATTTAGCTAAGTCTTTAGATTCATATGAAATGTAATGTTTTCTTACTTGCCATATGATGTTGTATGATTATGATTCATTATGCATTGATTTAGGATGATGTATAGTGAGGTTTTTAGTTGATAATTGATTAGTGTTTAGTAAGTTAATTGAGGTGTAAAGTTGTATGTGTTGATAAATGTTTGGAGTTGTTAAGTTGTTAGATATGTGGTTATGGGATACATGCCTTAGTTGGGATACATGAAAATTATAGGAAAAAAAAAATTGTTGAAAGTTTTCATATCTCATTATGTGGATATCAATTGTGGTACGAGGCAAGAGTTGAAAACCTTCAGTGAGTAGATGACTCTTAAATGGGTAGATGTTTTAATTTGTCTTCTCTAGATTTTGTATGGAGTTGTTTTGAAGTTAGGTCGAGCCATTATGTATAAAGTGGTCAATTGAGTAAGGTATAAAATTTAGGATTAAATTATTAAGTGGTCATTGAAAAGTTGGCTCTTCACCTATGTTGTAAGAGATATCTTAATTGAATGTGTGATAACGCATGTAATTGCTATATTATGCATATAGGGTTGAACTATTGAGTTGTATAGTTCATATGTTATGTTGTTATGTGTACAACTTGTAGTGTTGTTGTGTTGCTCAAGTTAAAAATTGTGTTGTGTTGTTCATATACCATGTTGGTATGTTGCGGTTGTATGATTATGTTGTTAGTTGAGAACTTATTGTGTTGTGTAGTTGGATTGCAAGTGAATAATGGTTAGTGTATGCTGAGTTGTTTAAGTTGTAGTATAGTTAATTAATTCTTCTATACTTGTTGATTATTTTTTAATACTAGTTTACCCTTGTATATTTTCTTATGATTAGATTATAATGATCATATTTATATGAGAGTAAGATAAAGATAGGTTAGAGGAGGAGGAAGAATTTTTAAGGCCATGCTGGAGGATGACGATGTTGATATTCTTTTGGACTACTCTTATATGAAGCTATTTTGTAGTTGTTGATTAACTGACAACCTAGATTTACAATTATGAATTACTTTGTGTGTGAGTCTCTCTCTCTCTCTCTCTCTCTATATATATATATATCATATATATCTTATTTATCACATATTTCTTATCTATTGGACCGACATTAAATCCAGAGCTTTGCTGCCATAATCATTCGATGCATCCGACTTTCAAACTAGCAGTCGAAGGAAAAATAAAAAATAATAACCCAATAACATACAACTAATCTATCAAATGTCAAATTCATCAAGAAAATCTACTATGCTACTTGAGTAGATGATATCGTCTAAGTGAAAAAGTCATATGAAAAATGGATGACCTTTATCGATTATACTGATATCAACAAAATCAATCAACCCTTCACTTTATCAAATATAGAAGTGTAAGTGACCAATACCTTTATATCATTTATGGATGATTACTCTAGTTTTATTTTAAGGCCAAATCAAATATTATTAAAGAGAAAGAGAAGATCGAGTGTATTCATAAGATATGAAATTACACCACAACCAATAATATAATAGTAGTGATTACAAAAATTGATACACCAATATATAACAATCAAAGCCTAGTTTCAACAAAAATAATCCAAACTCAAGACAAAGATAATAAAGCTACCAAAATAATACAAGCTAGCAACACCTCAACGATAAAACAAAATCAATAAAATTCTAAAGTAGGTTGATCCCCTTCACAAAAAAAACTACCAGCAATATAATTAAGATAGAAGTTATTGCAAACACAAATAAGATTGGGCCTGCCAATTATAAAGAGAAAAAA